TTTTATTATTATTATTATTATTCCTTCCTCTTTTTCAGTTCGTTTGTATTCAGCTGACCTCTGAACCCATTTTTTCCCTTCCCAGTCTGTGTTGGGACGTAGAACTGCAAACTGCCTTTCACTGATCTATTGGGCTCGCTTTTTCAAAAAAATATTATTTGTTCCTTTCGTGAGACGATGAAACTTTATCTTTTGCACTTATTGCACTTTTGTCCCTGTTGTATTTTAATAGCAGAGTGGGTTGGGTTGATCCAAAATTTACTTTTTACTTTTTTAAAACTACAAATCCCCTGCTTTCACGTTTTGGTTCAGAAATGACATGAATTTTGTTATAGAGTCCTTCATATAGAGTACACAGTAGAAAACAATACATAAAAACCACGTATAGAGAGAGAGAGCAATAGCAACTGTGTAAAAACAATGTATATTAATAATGTACAGATAACAATGTGTAGAGAATATTGTATAAAGAGCAATGTGAAGTATAAAGAAGAATGTATATAGAAAGCAAGGTACATAAAACAATGGGTGGCATAAAGAAGAAGGTGTACAGAAAGCAATGTACAGAAAACAATGTACAGAAAACAATGAGTATAAAGAACAAGGTGTACAAAGAAGAATGTGTAGAGAAAACAATGTATAGAAATCAATGTGTGGTATAAAGAAGATTTTCTTTTAAATATTAGTTTTAGTAAGTATTGTACGGCACTTGCAACACAATAAGGTCATTTCAGTGCCGAAGAATAGATAACAAAGACAAAAAAAGGAGGAGGGGAGATCAGGACGAGAGGTGTTTATAGAAATAAAAGGAGCAAACAACACCAGAGCACCCGCCAACCACCCACGTGTTAAGAAGAATGTGTATAGAAAACAAGAGGCCTATGTAGGAAACAGTGTGTGGTACAAAGAAGAATGTGTATAGAAAGCAATATACAGAAAACACCAATCAACGTGTAGATAACTGTGACGTGGGACACTCACCATCTCTGGGCGGGGAGGGCGTCTGGTAGGGGCTGACCGAGAAGGCGTGTGTGGGCGGGCTGGAGTAGGAACTGGACATCCCGTTCATGCCAAACGGGTACCCTAGGGCGCCTCTATGCTGAGGGCCCGAAAACACAGCGTCATGGGCGGCTTGTGGGTGCTGGTGGGGCCCGCCCGAGTACTGGGAGCGGATCTGGTAGGCCGGGTGGTGGCCCATGGTGTGGGGGAGGCCGGCCGACTGTTGCTGGAGCTCCATGAAGGCAGACTGTTGCTTCATCATGTCGGCGTCCAGCCCGTCCATCCCGGACATGTTCAACATGGTGGCGAGAGGGGGGCGGTAGCTGCGGGGAACGGAAAGGAAGAACACAAATTTTTAAGTATGGTAGACTGAAAATAATGATAATAATGATAATAATGATAATACTGATGGTGTCACGACAGCAACAA